GGAAACTGGGTTAGTGGACCCCATGTACCGCTTTTTCAACCCCGACCATCCATGTCCAGGACTCTTAGCTTACAGGCTACACATCTGACTTTCAAAAGAGGCTGAGGAGGTTGGGTGGCTTATGGGAAGTGTAGTGAAGCGCAACGTCTTAACTGAACGAAGCATACCCTCTGAAAGTACCCGGCTGTCCTGCAAACTTCCAAAATAGGGAGTAAGCTTCCTTAGACAAGGAGTTTGCCCCGAAATATTTGTGGGATACTCGATATCCGGGCACATTCCTCACTTAAGGGGAAGACGGAGTCTGTGGGGATTATTGAACTCGGTAAAGATCGTTGAGTCTCTGGGCCATTTTTGTCACCCGTGCTCGTACGGCGTGGGTGTCAAAGTGTACTGCTTTCTGTTCTGGGGTTCAGAGCGTTTTGGTTTGTAGGTTGCGACCTCCTGCCGTAAGACGTATAAACTTTGTATTACCCGCATCCGCATCCAGATTAGAGTCCTGTGTCAGCCCTCAAACGATTCAGGGTCCTTTCCGGGATACCTTGGTTCTATTATGTCTTTCTTATCGTTAGTGCACCAAAAGCTGTGCGAACTGCTGAAACCTCGCCACTTGTGCAGCATTGAGACGAAGTTTGCCGAGTACAAGCACACGTCCAAGGTCTTTTCAGAGCTTTGTTGACTCTCGGGTCCCAGAAAGCCTATACTCTTTGATTAAGCAATGTTCCCGTATTAGCAGGAGGGAAGGAGCAAAAAACCCTGTAACATACTCTATGTAAGGTCAATAACATGGACTGGGCTGCTGCTAGATAGGTAAATCACAGCTCCGAGGTGCGAAAGGGGTCCCGGCCGTCTAAAAAGGTCCCGGGCCCCAAGAACAGAACTCTTTCAACAACCGTGAGTTCTAACAGCCTCCACCCTAAAGCCTAAACCCTAAGCCTAAACTCAGGTTCTTCTTCATCCACACCCCACCTCTTGTGGAGCACCTCAAAGAGTTTCGACGGCCGATCTTCTTGCTTTCCTGCCTGAGTGAGAGGGTTTTGTAGGGCCTGTGCGGGTATTACGGGGTGTTATGAGGGTAGAATAGTGAGTTTAGGGTTTAGGGATAATAGGGCTGATAGTATCATGAGGGCAAAATAGAGCCCCATAAGGCTATTACAGCAATCGCAAGGATTGCGAAAGGCGTTGCAGGCCGAAGGCGCGAAGTGTCTCGGAGTTTTATAGGGCTTCGGAGTCTTAGAGTTTAAGGTGCATACGCTTTACGATCTTCAACCTTACAGTGCCATACACCACAAGCCTTCATCTTTGCGGAACCTAGCAACAAAAGAACTAGCCCAGGATTCCCCTAGTTCATAGCCGAGGCCCGTGACCCTGATCACCTAATCGTTCCGAGCCCCAACCTTTAACCCTTAACCGTCAAGGCACTGTGCTTTCAGCAGCGAGAGCTCTGACATCTAAACCTTTCTTCCCAACTCGCAATCCCCAAAAATCTCTACCGATTCCCCAAAACAATGGCCTCATGAAGAGTCGCTCAGGCATCAATGGAGATGCTGTCATCATGTCGGGCGTGAGGTTCAGTTCTGGGTCAATAGGTTTAATGGGGCCCATTATATTAAACTTATAATAAGCAATCCTCAAAATAGTATTCCTATAGTTATTATTTAGGGCCCTTATATTACGACGCAGATGACTCAGAGGATGCGCGTTCGTTCAGTTTGGGCTGTTGGTCCTTTTTCCAGGCCTGCGCCCTGCAGGTCCTATATACACCGTAGGCCGCTCGCCTCAGCAACAACAATAGCCACACTCACAGCGAGAGAGATATCAATATTGAGAATCAGCGACACGCACGAACAATCTCAGGTTCCACCTGACTTGCGCTTTCGGGATTTGCTTCGCGTGCGTGCACAACACGCTCCTTGGATCATATACTTTGGCCCGCACGTTTGTACGATTTGGGTACATGGACCCTTAAACCCGAAACCCTTATAACGCCCTTATAGAACCCCTATACTATCCCTTAAACGAGCCCTTCAACAGATTCCTATTTGGGCACATGGACCCTGAGGTTTAGACTTCTTGAGCCCCCGAGGCTCCTCACCCCGTCTCTTTTCGACGGCAAGGCGAAGTCGTTTCACGCGACCCGGCCGATGCCTTGCACAATGTAGGGACTTCATTGTTGGTTTAGTAATTTGATTTAGTATTGTTGTGAAAAAAGGGGTTTCATAGTTATGAATCGAACAAAGTTCTGGAGTGTAACTAGTAAAGGAATTACATGACTTCGGCACTGCAAGGGGGACTGTTCGGCCTCAATGCTATGCAAGATTCACGTTCAGACCCTCAACTCAACACTGAATCCAAACACGGCGTGGAACAAAACTACCTAGACGCTCATACCCTACCCCTTTTTTAGGATACCTAGCTTTATGGTTAGGATCTGTTATCTTAAAGAGTAGGTGCCCTAAAAAACAGGTAGGGTAAGCCCCTAGCTATTTTGTAAAGCCTCGGGTTCCAGGCTTTGTGATGTCGTGATGCTTGTCCGCGGCTCGGGACACGGCTGCCATGTCGTTGTTTTGTCGAGTGGACGGGTAGACATATATGAGAGAGATACCTTTAGGGTGTATTTGACGTCTTATTTCTTTCCTTTGTGAGTAGATAGAATATGAAGAATGGACATAATTGAAACAATTTAAATCAACAAGGCCGATTTCAATTATCTGGGCCACCCAGATAATTGAACCAATTGAAAAGGGGATGATTTCAATTATTTCAATTGTTTGGGTAGCCGAAGTAATTGAAATACATGAAATAATTGAACTTGGTCGCGTTGCTAATCTTGAAATAACAATTGAAAAACTTGAAATCAGACATACATAGGGGGGAGGGTATGTGCGGTTAGTGGCTTGGGCGCTCAACCTTCGTCTCACCGTCCCAGGCCTTAGTTAATCCACCACACATTCCTGAGCCACAATAAGCGCACAACCCTGGCTCCACAGGTATGGGTGGGACGTGCCGGAATGGTGTTTGGGCTTGCGTCCTTCGTCGCTGGCGCATATTTAGCCTGGTGTCCCGTGCAGGATGCCGGGGTTCAGTGCTACTTAGGGTTGCTGAGCTCAAACCCTAAGGGTCCATGTGCCCAAATAGGGATCCTTTAATGGCTCCTTTAGGGGATACTATGAGGTTTCTATAAGGGCGTTATAGGGTTTCAGGGTCCATGTACCCAAATAGTGGTATACTTTGGCCCCAAAGTACCTATATAGGGACTACTTCAAGGCCAAAGTATCATATACTATTTGGGTACATGGAGCCTTTGGGAAAGTCTGTTTTTTGGTTTGAGGCCTTGAGATCGACTTTGCGGATCGGGGTAGCGAAGTGCTTTTGATCGAAGTCTCGCCATGCCCCCCCACCCTCCCCCTACGAAGCCCTTGCCCAAATACCACTTGGAGGTTCATGGGTAGTTCTAAGCGGGGTTTTAAGTCCCGTACTTGGGGTTATCACTATAGTTATCCTACTTATAACCCTACATTAACTACCCATGAACCTCCAAGCAGGACTACGGATTTTCGATCCCAATCACGATCGGCGGGATCTTGCAGCTCCATTCCCAGAATGCGGGTTATGGTGCCATCATGCAATACAAGGACGGCCGGCCTGCATCGCTAAACCACCTGCTCTCTGATTCTGAACCCCAAACGGGACAAAAACTGTCAGTCCTGAATCATAGTTACATAACTTACATAATTTTCTTTCAGGGTCCCATTTTCTGGATGGTGTTCAAGTTTCCTTTCAAAAGCCGATCTATACATCAGGGTTCTACACTAGCAGAGCCCTTAACCCTCAACCCCCACAGTACTGGGAAGAACCGGTGGCTTGTAAATGGTTAACATACTTTACGAGGTTAGCTATCTGTTTACAAACAAATGTAAAGGGTTAAGTTGGTTTAGCTATAGGGGTTAGCATAGCTTAGAAAAGGGGGTTAGTCTAAGTAACATAAAGGGGTCCCTTATACGTCTAAACCTTCCAAGCCCTGAACATAAAAGCCTCAAACCCTAAACCCGAACCCTGCAAAACAGAAGTCTTTTTTTGCATGCCGGTCGTTCACGGTCTTCCGGCTAGAGAAACTCGTTTAAGGCCGTAGCCTGAGAACGGCTGCATTTCAGCAGATATATAATATACATGGGATGCCGTAGCCTTCTGCATCCCATTCTGCATGCCTGCAGCAAAAGGGGCCGTAGCCTGGAAGAAAGCTTGCTTTCAGCTTGCTGAGTTTTCAGACTCCTCTTCCTCATGCTCCTCTTCCTCAGCCACTTCCTGCTGGGAATTCCAGTTGTCTTCATACTCTGGAGAGGACTGCTCGGTCACGGTAGGGAGAGCATGCTCGTCCCCGGACTCCACGATATTCATATATTCGTACTCCCTCCATGCCCTTCTGTAGTTGCTGCGACGGACATCCCTCTCGTTGTACCACTTGATTGTGCATTTTGCACACCAGTGGTTCAGGTGTGCATTTTTCACTCTGCAGCAACTGGGGGCACCGCATTCCGTGCATGGTCCTGCACACGGGTCCATCCTCAAACGGCGGCTGCAGGCTCCTCCCATTTCACAGGCCTTGGCCCACAGAAACTGCACGTGTGCAGGAGCTTATAAGGATGGCCGTGGCCGCGACGCACTCGCAGTCTACTTTTTCTATCACAGCACTTGAGCCACATGGCGACAGCAGGTCGCATATATATACTGTATGAAAAAGCACCATGTCATGCATGCCCTGCATGTATATATGTATATATACATATATATACAAAAAAAGCTTCGGCTTTTGTCCTCGCATCTGTCTCTCATGCGATCTTGAGTCGGGATGCAGCCATTAACTGCATGGAATTAAATGATCGTGATCTGTGCAGCATGCCGATTAAGTCGGTGATGCACATGCTCATGTGTGCACACACACACATGAGCAGAAGCAAAAAGTTGGTTGGCATTGCATCGCTTTCGAGCCCTGCACAGCTGGCTTAGCAGCCGTTCTTCTTCTTCCACAGCAGAATGGCCTCTCTGTGGGCCTCTCGCTGGCACTCTACCACTTGCTGCTCCGAGAAGCCTTGCTGCTTTGCCCACGTTCCGGCTCGCTTGTACATGCGAGAAGCATAGTTCTTCTGGATGCAGCCGTCCTCCCAGACAATTTGGAACTTCCGCTTTCCATGCGAGCCTTGGGCTTGCTGCTCCTTTGCTTTGCCTTGGCCTTTCTTCGAAGCACTCTTGTCCTTGGACTTTCCTTTGCCTTTGCCGCTGCCCTTCTTCTTTGGATCTTGGCCTTGGCCATTCGTTTTTGTCTTGTTCTTTGCCAAGTTTCCTTGGCCACTCGCTGCAGCTGCAGCGGCCGGCTTCTTCAGAATCCCAGCTTTGCGATCTTTGAGCTTCTTGAACAAAGCTTCGTCCTCGAGATCGTTCTCGGCAGGGAGCGACTCCGTTGCTTCGGGTTCTTCGGCTGGAGGCAGGGCTAGCTGCAAGGCCGACTGTCGCCCTGGCGAGGTCTGCTGTGTCGCAGCCGAAACCGGCTGGGCTGGGTTGCCCAGAGCAAAGCCGACCCCGGCACTGCTGCTGCTCAGCTCGCCTCCTGTGATGGAGTTCCGTCCAGGGGTCCTGCAGCAGGTATACAAATGGAAAAGCATGCATGGGCTGTGTATACAGATGCAAAACAAAGGAAAAGATAAAAGAAGCATGCAGTCCTCCTTTGCAAGATACTTGCGCCTGCAGCAAGCTGCAGCTCCCTTCGCCCACCATCCTGGATGGCATTCTGACCGCAGCCCTGGTCCAGCATTCTTTCCAGTCGCCCGAAGCACTGCTCCATGCGGCTCTGGAACTCGTGCGCATGCTGCTCAGACACGGCGGCCTGGCCATCTGGCCTCGGCAGCCTCTGCTTCTTGTTCTTCTGCAAGAGCTTGGAAGTAGATCGCATCGGAATGTGAGCTAGGCTCGGTCGAACAGAGCCTTCGGCAAGCTGCTGGGGTCATCGGGATACGTGAGCAGGCCGACCTCAGTCGGCTCTGCATCCGTTTTCACGGATTCCCAAGATCTCTTGAAGACCTGGACCTCTTCGTAGATCTCTTCATATGTCGGCATCTGACTGAGCTCGCCGGCTGCCAGTGCCAAGAGGAAGGCCAGGCCTTTCTTGACCGTCTGTTCTGTGAGGTTCCTCAGGCCCAGCTGCAGATACCTTTTCAGAAGGATTTCCAGCCTTGCCGGTGCTGGCGACTTTTCCAGCATAGACCACTCAGTGACCGTGATGAAGTTTTCCGGCTTCAGCAAGGTCTGCGGCTTGCTTTCCTCCTTTCGCTTGTGAGGCGTATATGTAGTATCTGGCGGCGGTGTTGCAGCCGTGGCCGTTGCCAGAACTTTGGCTTCAACTTTTTCAAGCAACCGTTCTGACAGGGTGCTCTCGAAGCTCAGATCCTGGATCGTCTGCTTCATCTGCATGGCTTGCCCTAACGACAGAGAGCCAAGGCTCTCCAGCCGGGTGCACCAGCTGTTCATCAAAGCATCGACCGAAGCCTTGCTCCCACTTTGTGCCCACTCGGCCATAGGGCTTAACTCGGCCTGCAACTCTCGGGCCATCTCGCCGTGGCGAGATATATATAGCCGTGGCCAGAAAAGGAGAATCCAGAAGCCCCCTCTATAGGAGCCAAGATGCTACAACCCCACTACAGGAGCCAAAATGGCAGCTGCATGCACATCCATGGAAAAAGAGCATGGTACAGGTCGCCTGCATGTGTGTGTACGTGCAGATTCCCAAAATCCAGGATGCATGCAGGATCAATCCTTTTCATCGGAGGGAAGCAGGCAGGATGATTTGTCGTCGGCCTCCGGCCATGTCTCTCCATGTGCATGCACACAGAAAGTCTCTGCATGGCAGCAGATGCAGGCTGTCTATGCAGGAGCACTCCCCCACGAGGTCATCGCAAAGCAGAGAAGAAATGGAATGCACAACACTGTAGGCTTGCCCTGCCAGTTCCACGAATGCCCAGACAAGGGCACACTCCAAGCAACCGTTCCCTTCAAGCAGCACCGCATCGCCACGACATATCCGTTCCCCGGAGGGCAGCCTGACTTTTTCTGCCACATGAATCACTTGTGCCGAGGTCAGCTCCGGAATGATTTTGCGAAGTGCTGCCGCCTTCCTCCGAGAAGCTGGCTTCGGGTCCTGCAACTGCAGCATCGCTGCGAAACAATCAGCTCTTGCCAAGCAATATAGTTCTTGTCCAAGAACTTCTCGGAGAAGACCCTGCTCGTAAGCAGAAGTCTTCTTGATGTCCTCGGCGAATCTCTTGATAGTGCGATGCTTTCTTTCGTGAGTGTAGCACTGAACCATGAAACCCCACTTTTCCAGGTGCGAACCGAAGTGGAGAAGCCAATGGAACTTGGAATGCATGCGGTCCTGCCACTCAGCAGCATGCACTGCTTGCAAGAAATCGGAAACGTGCTTTCTCATCTGGCCGGGCGATGCGAGCTCTCTGGCAGCATGCCACGAGTTTGTCCAGCTGCAAGAAACATTGGATCGCTTGCACTGCCTCAACATTTGCATTTGCCCTGGCGAGCTGCCTGAAGAAACAAGCCAATATTGGAGACAGTGTCAAGCCTTCGGAGGCCGTGCATTTAAAGGTCTCGGCTTCCTTGCATGCTTTTGCTCGGGACTGACCCAGCATCCCTTCGGCCTTGGCCGAGATGTTCCGGGGCAGGGTCCACTTGGCCACGTACTCGTCGGCGATTTCCCAGAGATTGGGAAACTGCTTCTGCAAAGCTTCCAAAACAAGCCAGGTCACTGTCTGGAAGACACCGGAGACCAGCAGGGTGTGCATGCTGTCGTGGCAATACTGTGAGACCGGCCGGACCAGCCATCGTTGATCCTCTTGTTGCAGCAGGGAACAACTATTATAAGTCCAGCCGGTGGCTTGCTGCCACGTGCTGAAATCTGCAGCATTCAGAAGCATCTTCTTCTCTGCCAGTTTAGCCATGGCCTCGTGGATGGATTGGTCGGTCGCAAGCGAAAGCTTACTTTCTCGGATCTCAGAGGAACCGACCACGGGGAGCCCGCTGCTGTGCAGGATATCACATCGTTGTGCTATTACATTCCTGCACAGCATGCACATGCGGGTGCCAGCATCCCCCTTGCAGCTCCATAGAGCTTTATGGGCACCACCGTCTTGAACGATCATTGACAAAACCTCCCGGAAGAGGACGGGCGGACCTCCTGGTCGCTGCAACGATATGCACCCGTGCTCCAAATGGTTGGCCGGCCGCATGAATATGTCTCGCAGGATTTTCGAGATCCATTGAGAGACACCTGCTTCGGCCTTGGCCATCAGGCTGGATCGGAGCAGTCCTATGCATAGCCACGACTCCTCGTGCTGCAATGCATAGCTTCCAAGTTCTACGAACGAGGCATAGCAAGCCCAGATTTTTCTCTTCGTCTGGACTGCCAAAGGATTACCCGGCACGATCTCGTCCGTATAGAGGATCAGCCGCCATGCCGAGCTGGGGCTCGGAGGATTCTTGTCGATGCACGCCCAAAAATATTGGGCGAAGTTGCTGTCGGCATCCGAGATAGCAGCTTGCAGCAGAGCCCAAAAATCGACACTGGGTATCTGCAGCTCTGCACCATCTGTCTGCAAAAGTGACAGACGATTGAGGATCCTATTCTCTTTCAGGGGTTGCCAGGCAGCCTCGGCTATATGTTTTCTTTGTGTGAGTTCCGGGACACCCTCGTCCCGCAGAACTTTGCAAACTTCGGACAAAGCCGAGGCTGTGAGATGGGGCAATTTCCTTCTCAGAGCATTCACCTTCTGAAGCTTCGCTGGTCTTTCAGCAAAAGCATCGGTGCTGCTGGAGGCCATGGCCCTATATCACCACGGCACCGCACCAACAGCAAATGCCGGAACATCTCCGTGGAGAGTTCCTTCTTCTCCCTGTGCCTGCAGCAGCAAGCAGCCACATACACGCCTCCGTGGAGGCTTCCACACGCCTCCGTGGAGGCTCCCACACGCCTCCGTGGAGGCTTCCACACGCCTCCGTGGAGGCTTCTCGCATCCTTGGATGCTGGGTCTCCATGGCAACAACAAACCAAGCTACAGGACGGGTGACACAACAAATGGCCCCAGGAAGGGGTGCCTGTCTGCGAACACAACTGCACCAAACCTTGTCTGTGCTCGACTCTGGGCATCTGTATGCATGCTGCACGGCTGCTTGGGCCCTGCTTTCCGCTGCTCAGAGAACACATTTCGGCAGGCCCACAAAACCCTCAAAATATGATATGGAAAAAACTATATCATATGAAAACAAAGTCAATCATATGATATAGTAGAAACTATATCATATGAGGCCAAAATATTACATATGATATAGAAAAAACTATATCATATGATATCTGGCCCCACAGACTTAGATGATATAGTAGAAACTATATCATATGGCAAGCGATGCCATCATATGATATAGAATATGCTATATCATATGGTTTCCTTTCAATATATATGATATAGAAAAAACTATATCATATTTTCTACGTTTGAATAAGGTTCCAATCTTAAGGTTAACCGAAAATTATTCTCTAAAAAAAAACCCCTAAACCCTAAACCCTAGAAGAGAAAAAAGCGCGGAGACACTCTTTTTTTCACCAGACGGCAGCCGGCACTCTGGTTTTTTGGGGAAGACGGCAGGCGGCTGCCGAGCTAGGCGGCATCCCAGGCAGCTCTCCAGTCCTGGGCAGAAGAAGAGCAGGCCAGAAAGGAAAAGAAGGAGAAAAAAAAGGGAAAGAAGGATAAAAAGGAGAAGGAGAAGGATGAAAAGAAAAGCGAACGAGAGAGATCAGAGAAAAAGGACAAGGAGGTGGATGAAAAATTGAAGGGGGCAAATGAGAAGGCAGCAGATGAGAAGAAGGACAACAAGCCTTCGGACGGGCCCAAGGGCCCGTCCAAAAAGTGCCCCATTTGCTGGAGGTGGATACAGGAGCATGCGGCCGCCCGTCGCCAGCACCGATTGTCGGTGTTTCACCGAACTTGGAAATACATAGCCCAAGGGCTCAGCAAGGAGGCTGCTGCAGGCCGGGCAAAGCGCCGGTTCCAGGAGCACTGGCAGCCCGGGAGGGAAGAGGAGAGCGAAGAGGAATCCGAAGTCCCAAAGTGGGAGCTGCGGCGGGATTCCGGCAACAAGGGCCATGGATATGGCGACAAGGGCCAGGGATATGGCTATGGTGATGTGAGAGGCGGCTCCGGCCCCTCGGGGGCCAAGGCCCATACCGAAGCTGAGAAGGGCCGTCCTGAGCAGGCTAAGGGCACGAAGAAAAGAAAAAAGCCGGGGGCAGGAGAGACAATCTCCCTGATTGAGCCCGAGGATGACAAAGAGGATCGAAAGCCGGTGAAGCTTTTGCCCAGGAGTTTGCCAGCTAAGGCTGGCAAGACCGGCCAGGACAAGAAGAAGTTGCAAGCTTTCTCTCCAGCCTCTGCCTGCCGGCGGCACTTATCGGCCAATCAGGAGCGGTCTTCTCATCCAGAGAAGGGACTCTGGGCTTCGAGGCCGCAGCCTCCGAGGCCGCCTCCTTTGGCTTCGAGGCCGTAGCCTCCTCCGGCTCCTCCTCCGGATCCTTTTCTTTGTCCTCGGACTCAGTTGCCTCCTCGGAGGCCACAGTTTCCTCCTCAAAGTTCTCCTCCTCCTCTTTCTTGTTCTCGTTCTCCTCTGGCTTTTTGTTGCCATCCTCCTCCTTTTTCTTTTGGTCCTCGGACTCTTCGTGAGATCTCGACCGTAGTCGAGGATCTCGTCGTTCTTCTCTATCCTCTGAGCTCGAGCTCCTCCTCCTTCTATCCTGGTCCCGGTGCTTGGGCATGGCCGACGACTTCGCCTGGCCAGGACAAAAAAAGGGTTTATAGAGGATCGGGGAGGGTATAGGGTTTAGGGAAGATCCCTTAAGCCAGACTCTTTTTAGCACATGTATATATATATATATATATATATATATATACATATAGTATTTGGTGCATGCCGTGGCATGCACCCACGAGGCAACCGTGGTCTCCTCTCCCAAAGCAAAGCAAACCGTGGTCTGCTTGCTTTGCATGCTTGCCAGCAGATGCAAACAAACCTTGGTCTGCCTGCATTCTGCCGGCCAGCACGGTTGCCGAAAAGCAACCCATGCATGCATCACTGACTAAGCAAACCGTAGTCTGCTAGCCAGCTCTGCAGGAGACCGTGGTCTCCTCTCACAGACAGATGGCAAACCGTGGTCCACCACAATTATAAGGAGACCGTAGTCTCCCGGCTTTGTCCAGGAAACCGCAGTCTCCCGGGCTGCCTATAGTCTATAGTTATATATCTATATCTGTATATATGTTTCGTTTGAAAGAAACTTAAAAGGATCCCTTGCCTGGCCTCGTAAAAAAGGCCAGCCCCCATCCAAGGGCTCCCTACAGGAGCCCAAACAGCTGCAAACACCGGCACAAACTTCACAACCTGCACATGCGAGGCTACAAGTCAAACAACTGCATGCACATGAGACAACAAGGCTTTGCATGGTTTTCCTGAAGCAAACGAACCTTCAGTTCACTAGCACCCCAGGCTTCCTCCGTTTGGAGGACTGCCCCTGGCTTTTTGCTGCCCTTTTGGCAGCCGCAGTCGCCTCAGCCTCCTGCAGCGGCAGGGGATCCAAGGGCCGGGCCTTGGCCCCGGCTTTTTTGACAAGCGAATACCTTCTGTCGTCGCCTGTCCGTTGAGCCTGGCGGCCTTGGCCGATTTTCACGACTTTGTCCTTCGCAGCAGTTCCCTTAGGAAAGCTTTGCCGTGCTCTAGTCTGAAAAGACTCAGCAGTAAGCACGGCATTTTGTGTTGCTTCAAAGAACAATGCCATATCATCCAAGTGGACTTTGGGCACATCCGTGACATGGCCCGCCTCCAGGACACGGATCTCCTTTCCCATCCAGGTAACCTTCAGCACATTCTTTTCTGCTCTTGCTTCCCTGGAAGCACGGCGGGACAAGCGAGTCTTCGCTGCTTTTCTCGGAGAGCTGCCTGTTACAGACACTAGAGCAGCCTCGCTGTCTTCCCCGCCGAAAAGGCCAGAGCTCTGTTCTTTCAGTTTCTCTGCCTGCCGCTTGGACTGCTGCTCCTTGGAGGCATCGTTTCGGGAGCCCACGAGCGATAGATAAACATCGCTCTGGGACAACGATGACTTTGCCGGGTATTTTGGCAGTTTTATGCTATGCTGCTTAGAAAGCAGCTTGCACAAGCCCGGGCTCCATGGACGAAGTACCACAAACGGACCATGGTCCGTTGGTTCTAGCTCCTTGTCACCCACAGTCCAGCTGGCACCATCCAGCTTCAGGACATATACTCTTTCGATTACCAGCGGCATTGTACCTATATTAGCCTTGAGCCGAACTTTATGGAAAGATCAACAACACGTGCCTGCAAACCATCCTTGAATTCACACTTGCAAAAGCGCCAAAAAGTTCCATTGCAGACATCAACCTTGGCTCCTTTTCCCGGAAAACTCAGCAAGCGAGAACTGTCGAGTAACTCAAGAAGCCTTTCGCTTTCGCGAGGCAGCGGATCCTTGATCCAGCTCTTGGGCCGAGGCCCTCAAACTTTCGGCAGGCTTCGGCCTGTACAGGATGCACTCCTTCAGCGAAGCAGTGTTCTTCAAAATGGGAATCTTCCAGCCCTTCTCGTTCAGAAGGACTGTCGCCAGATTCGGCTCTGAGCCGACCGGGATCTGCCAGAAGGCAGATAGCAAACTTCCGGCTGCAGCCGGGGGTGAAATATACAAGCTTGTGCCCGAGGCCGAATGCCAAACCTCCACACTGCCAGCTGCCGGCTTTAAGCCAACCTTTGAAATCTGATCCGTGAAGGGGAAGATCGTCAGCTTGCCTGTCTTGGCTTTGCCCTCCAACAGACAGCACGTGGGATTCTTCAAAAAGGTCAACTCCTCTTCACAGTGCGAGTACTTCAGGAAATACTCGCAGCAGAGCTCGAAGAACTCTCCTCGGAGTCTCTCTTGGCTGCAAGCCTCCGTATTATGGGGCAGTCGGTCCACAGAGTCAGACACCACTTCGGGTGCATCTCCGCTATACAGATCGAAAAATTTCTTGAGCTCGCTCAGAGGCACCTCGACCTTCTTGTCCCAGCTCACTGGGCAAGACAGCGAGAAAGAGCCGTGGCTCTGGCCGATTTTCTCCAGCTTCCAAGGCCAGATGTCCTGATACTTCTGCTTGCCTTTGTACAGGTTCCCCTCTGCGAAGCCTTGCAGCTTCATCAGGAAGGCCGGGTCCTGCATGTTCTCCAAGGTCGCAGGGGCCGCATCAGACGGCCCATCTTTTGTAGCAGCAGCCGGTGTTGCACCGGCACTCTTGCCACCCATCTCGTGTTCGTACAAAGTCAGCAAATTGGCCAATGACCCGTGCTCAAGGCCTTCTTGCCCCGACTTCTCTTTCTTGCACATGAAGAGGGTGCTGCGAACCATCAGGCGACCGAAGCACTCAACTGCCTTGGCACGTGCACTTGCATCCGTCACATTCTGAGTGTGAGCCCAGGCACGAGCAAGAAGCTCCTCCCAATCCTTTACAGCATCTTCCATGCCTTTCGCACAGAGCCTGCTGACATCGCTCTTGCTCAGCAGCCGAGCCACACCGTCTACCACTTTTGTGGCTGTCAGGTTCGTCGCGATCATCGCAGCCCTTGCGAAAGCATGCGATCGCTCCTGCCCTGCAAACCGGAGGCCGGCGACCGTGGACATGAATTCCTCTCCCAATCTTTTGCTTGCCCCATATTTCAAGGAAAAGTCGTGCAAAAACTTCAGCAGAGGTGCTTCGGTTCCTCCTGCATAGAATCTGCAGAACAACCCGCAAGCGGCCACGGTCTGTGGCGAGGCATCCGGCACCGTGGCTGCTACATCAGCTTGCACAACATCCCAGTCGATGCACAAACCTTGCTCTGCCAGCAACTTTGCTCGGGTCACCATCGCCATGGCGAGCTCCAGCTCGCCTGCCGTTCTTGCAACTCCTTGGGCTGCATTCATGACTTCCTGAACGAAGGAGGCCAGCGAGGGCAGTACTGCATCAACTTCCGCTGACAGCACCAGCCACTCCCATCCATTATCCACGGCCTGCCGAAAGTCCGTAGACAATCGCTGCAACGTGAGCTTGCCGTTGTCCGACACCGTCTCTTGGTCCGAGGGACATGCTGCAATGCAGGCACGGCAAAATGCCGTAAAGTGACTGCATGCTAACGACATGTATCGCTCATCGCCTCGCACCTCAGCTAGCAGCCCTCCATTCATATCCACTTGCCGCTTGTTGAAACTAAAGGCCTTTTGGCTCAGAGCTCTATCCGTGGATATTTCCATGCAAACACTTCGCTTCAGCTCCATGGAGCTGAAGCCTACAGATTGCACTTGGGCCCCTGTCTTGTGAACTTGGGCTCCATTCAATCCTAACCCTGAGCGATTCGACGGGTGCACCAGGACTTGACCCGGCCGCAGCACCTGCCTGTAGCACTTCCTGCTCTCCTGCAGGATAGTTTCGATCTCCGTCCATCTCTCCAATGCCGGAGCATCTTTCTTCAATGCCTGCTCCACGGCCGTAGCCCTGGCAGGCTTCATCTTTTCCAAGTTCTCTTGAAAAAAACGGCTGCATGGCAACAGGATATGCATTTAATTGTCCGCCCTGCCCCCCCCCCCCTGTATACATGCACCCTTGAAACACAAGTCATTTACGTGCCTAACATAGTCATTTCCCTATATAAGAACTGTACTTCAAAAAGTTATGTTAACTTAGCTAAACTGTAGCTAAACCCCCTAACCTTTGTAGATGTTTAACATACTTACACCACTTATGTAAACACTTAGCTAAGTCTCTTAACAGTTGTATTTGTTTATCACACTTATAAGTGATTTGCAATATAGATACAACCGGGTTGCAAGCTATTTAACAACATGCTTGCAATCTATATAAACACTTACAAAGCCACGGTTCTTCCCAGTATGTCTGACGAGGTCTGAACCGGGAGCCCAAAAAGTCTCAAAAACCTCATGTGGTTCACCTTAGGGATCCTTCTAGCAATTGTCTTGGTCTCAGTCTACTACCCTCCTCTGAGCTGGGGTTTAGGATTCAAGGCTTGTGTTTTAGGCTAGGGTTTTTCCGTATTTCGGGTTCCGCGTGCAGAGTTGAGACTGATGAGGGTTGTGGTGATGGTGTTGGTGGCGGGGGTGGCAGTGGCGGTGGCGGCGTCTGTGGTGGCGGTGGTTGTGCTACTCATGTTTGTGGTCCAGCGGTGCTGAAAGTGGGGGAAACTATTTTGTGATCAGGACGTGTAATTACAATGGCCATGAACAGAGTGAAGAGAAAATGTTCTTTGTGGTGAGGTTGCTGTTAAAGTATGTTCGCCCTGGCTAGCTCAACACAGAGGCGGGCAGGCTCCATGTAGCCAAGTATCGTACATACTTTGGCCTATAGGTACTTTGAGGCCAAAGTGTGTACTTTTTGGGCACATGGACCCTTAAACCCTAAACCCCTACTATAAAGCCCTTATAGAACCATGTTAGTATCCCTTAAAGGAGCCCTTAAAGGATCCTTATTTGGGCACATGGACCCGTAGGGATTGGTCAGGAGTTGAAGAAGAGGCTGGCAGAGCTGTCCAGCGAAAGCAAAGAAGCCGAGGAAGTACGGGCAGAGCAACAAAAGGCCGGCTGGAGGCTTCACGTTGCCAGTTTTGGGGGCCTAGGAGTTTAGGGTTATAGGGGTCTAGGGCGGTAGGGTTCATAGGCTTTGGGGTTTGGCGGTCTAGGGTGTAGGGTTTAGGGTGTCTTAGTGTTGAGAAGGGCTTCTATAGAGGTTTTGAGAATTGGTGGGGAGTTGTCTTCCTGATCAGGGATTAAGGGTTCTTGGGGGGGGTCATGAAGGGAGCTTTTTCTCGTTCGGGTTTTCAGTTGTTCACTTACAGGGCAGGCGTCTTAACCGTAACTCCCAAACCCTGCCCTGAACCCTCTATAGCCACTGTATGAAACACTGCAACACCCAAGCCATGAACCAGTGAACCTGAAACCTAAACCCCTAACCCCATAAACTCGAAAGCCTTGTCTCAGGCCCTCGCCACCCACATTCGCAGCATGATCGGGCTTTTCTTCCTGGGACTCTTGGCTGATCTTCGACTCGGAGGGATCAGACTGAGGTGTACTTAAAGGATCAGGGGCTTCAGTATCTGGAGATAAACGTAAGTTGACGATAGTCATAACGGTTCATAGCCCCAAGGCTGCACCTGGCAACCTACTGTACCATGACCTACTCATATGAGGGTTGACATGAAGACTCTGCGAAGAGTATAACTTTAGGTCATGGTAGCACCTACTTAAGATATTGACGTAATTTGGGCTTCGGGATATCCATGATGTCAGGGTCTTTTGGACATCTTCTGTTTGAGGGTTGGCGTGAAGACCCTACAACAAGGATAAAACCAGGTCAAGGTAGCATTTACTTAAAATATTATATTCATTTTGGGATTCGGGCATGATGCTGAGGGTTTTGTTAGTCCACGGGCCTGTAGGGATTCAGTCTCCACCCTGTGTACAGCTCCTCCGCGCGTCGGCGTTGCATTTTGTTGGGTCAGGGTGTTGGCCATCGTAGGAGCCCTGAGGCTGGATATTCGCAGTCTGATGTACACTCCTGATGAATAAACCCGTTCTCGTTAAGGGCCTTAATATGAGGATCCGAATTAGGCAGGGCTTTTCATACTCATGGGTTCACACTAGCCTTTAGTCTCCGATGAGCCGCGAATGTAATTGAGTGAGGTGGAGCAGCAATTGGACGTGGAGTAGACTCACGTTCCATTCCATGCTGCTGCACGCTTCAACAGCGCGAACCCTAAACCCCACCATCCTAGGCTCTAGCCCTTTAAATGCCTAAACGAAGCCAACAACATCGCTTTGTTTCATTACGTCGCTCGCTCCTTTCAGTCTGGCCTCTTTCGTTTTGGGTGGTTTGACCTCCTTAGATGTGGGTAGGTTTTGTTGCAGTAGATTATGGTAAGTTCTTTTTAGTATACTCAAGTACACTATCGTTCATTATGGTGCACTATGGCATATTGTGGTATATGGTCCTCTGCATGGCTCTCCACCGTCAAACCACTGGTGCAGCTCGCAAAGATCAGCTCGACATCACAGCAAACCTTCGGCCGTAGGCCCTAAACACCAAGGCCTTTTAACCCTACACTGAGCCTCCTAAATTGCAGCCGGTTTTGGGCTTCAGGATTTAGAGTTTCGGGTTTAGGCTTGCCTGGAAAGAGGCTGCATGATCCCCGCATCGCTGCGGATCGTCTTGCAGACACCGTGGCTCGGCCCCACCGCTGGTTGGATGTAAGCGCTGCAAGGGGAAGTGTTAAGCGTTATAGCCCCCGCAAGCGGTAAGGTACTAGCCGTGTAGACTTGTATATGTCAAGGCTGTGGAACGCGGTCTGAAGTTTCGGCGGGTGTTGAACACAATTATGTTTGTTCTGTTTTCATACGTGCTTGAGAGGCCTAGCTTGCATGTCAACCAGCTCCTGCCAAAACTCTGGTTTCTAAAGCCCTCAACCCTAAGAGATTGAGTACTTTCTCTGGGGGAAGTGGTAAGTCTTTTGTAGATTTGTCTTCAGGGAAGTACATGACCGCTAGTTACTTGGAAACCGGTGTCCTTGTAAGACCTAAAGCCCTAAAGTTTGCAAGCTCTCAACTCTCAACCCTCTTAAAAACCCCAACCTTTGCAAAACCTTTAAGACTCTTATTAACACCTCGAACCACTAATTATTATAAACCTTGAGCCCTAACTCTAACCGTGTGCTCTTTGGGCGCAACAGCCTTGGAATGTGCGTCCGTAGATCTTTAGGCTAGGGTTCAAGTAAGCCTAAACCACCGAGATATCCACTCCCTGCCACTCTGATGGCGATCTTCGCGCTTCAGCTCATCGGGCAACTCGGCGAGCGAGGGCATTGCAGGCATCAAAAGCAACCTGGACCCTGCTTCAACTCTCGAACAGGGGGTCTAGAGGGTCCAAAAAAGGGTAGGTGGACGACCTGGCAGGTCTAGTTGTTTTGTTTTTTGTCGGAGGGTTCTTGCCTTTTGTAAGTGTCCGAATAACGAGGATCCGGGGGCACCTTGAATCTTATTGTGTATGCCCTGGACAGACCAAAGTGCACAGTGACTTGATTCCCCAAACCCGCAAGGCAGGGTGCACCGCAAGGCCACTGGGCTCGTTGACCCCAAGTCTTGGCTAAGTTCCAAAAGGCTCGCTGTACAGGGATCATGCGGCAATCAACGTAGCCCTGCTACCTGGAAGCCTATCGAGCAGAAATGAAGATGAAGGGTCAGCCGTTCTACCTCAACCAGATATCTGATAGATATGACCTCCTGGCAAGCTGGGTGTCATTCCCAGCCTATAGCTACTACGCCTTTTTATCCTTGCTTCCCCCAAACCAAGATTCGTCGCCGCATCCGTTCAGGACATCACAATCCGATGATAGGCTCACGACTGAGCTCGGACAACTTTATCGACAAGCCCTGAGGCCTCACAGATCTCTTTCAAGCCTTCTGACAAACCAGTCACGTCTTGAGCCAGATCTAAGAATCTAAATGAACCTCCAAGGGGTTCTGTAGAAAGTTAAGGCAGCGCTATACAAAAGTCTTCCACTCGCGCCTCAACGGCGGCGGTCCATCGGGGGAGCCATTGCTCCCCTTCTGTCACTCATGGGGGGACAACATCGGGAGCCTTTCGGGGGTTCAGGGTTAGGGGTTTAGGGTTTAGGGTTTATGGTTTAGGGCTTAGGGTTTAGGTATAAGATGCATTGGTTTAAGCGTTTGGCTTTCAGGGCGGTGTAGGTTTTGGAGGTAGAGGGGTTACTTACGAAGGGGCACAGATCTCACAAATCATCCTACTGTCCTACTGTTGATGATACAATCCTGCGTTACCTTACAATATAATGACTCTATAATCGGCTATAGGAATTAATATTCCTTATCATGGGGAAATGCGGGATTTATATCATCAACTGTAGCTCCAAGCCCTAGACCCTGAAGCCTTGTGGCCCATTTGTCACGACTATTGGCTAACATGTTTGTGCGCTTTGTCGAGGCCTTTGTTGGGGGGTCTTAGGAGGTCGGGTGAGCGGCTGTGGGTTTAGGGCATAATCTTCCTGTTAGAGCTGCGGGTTTATATCCTAAACCCTAAACCGTAGCCCCTAAACCCTACACCCTAAACCCTAAACCCCTAGACCCTGAAACCTATTAGAGTTGAGTCTTTACCATAGACTGCACGACCTTCAGGACCCCAAGCCCCAACCCGGCCAAACAAAAGCACACCCTAAACCCCTCACCCGCGGGGCCCTCTTAGCTGCAACAGAAAGAAGCCACTGCACTAAAACAAAAAGACGTGGGGACCAGTTGAGGCTGAGCTCTTCGGTTTTTGAGAACAGGGGTTTCTGGATCGTTGACGTAGGATCGGGGATTTAATTCAGGGGTTCAGGTTGACGGAGACTGGTTCTTAACAAGGGTCCTGCGGTTGATGATACATAAATCCTGCATGACCTTAAGGACCCTAAACTATGGGAATTATGGTATATTCCTTCTTATGGGTA